CGGGCGTGGCTACTTCACACACGGATGGTGACAGTTTCATTCAAGTAATCGTAGGCTGTGACATTAAGGCCAGCCTCCTTTGGCCTTCAGAACATTTCAAAACTTTTCAAAACTCCTAGCCTTTATTTCAAAGGTATTGCTTTCAATGAAGCATACTCACAGTATAACCGCTGTGGCTGCGTCCCCAAACAGGCTCCCATTCCACGTGCAGCGTTGTCGGAGACCTTTAAGTACCAATTACAGGATTATATTTTACAATCAACGATTTGTAAGCACACTTACCTATTCACAAGCCGAATTATGTGCCGCTGTCCAGGGGCCAGAGTACTGTAAGTTCCCCATAGAATATGGCCGTAGCCGGAGCTTGTGCCCGCTTGCACGGTGATATTGTAGATGGTTTCCGGATTCAAGCCCTCGAATTTGATTGAATTTCCCGGTACAGGAACCGTGTAGTTCTTTTTCGGGCCAGTCACTCCACTGCGAGGATCGAACGGTGCAATGGTAACCCTGAACGTCATTGAACTTCATTTTTGAAGGGTAAGCAAAAAGAAAAGCTGGATACGGTAGGTTAAAAGAAAGCAAGATTACAAGTTCAGGAAAACATGGTGTTTACACTTCGAAACTGCGCGTGAAATTGAGTGTGTCGGGCCGTGGACGCACACAATCGGCTTACTGTATGCCCAAGCTGTGCGTTTACAGCCCCATACATTTGATTTTACGCGCAATTGGGGTGCTGTAAGCGCTCTGTTTTCCTGAACTCATAATCTTCTAAAAAGGGATACCTGTAGTGGGTGAGCATCTCTCGTTGTTCAGCGTCAAAAATTTCGGGAGGAACCCAGTCTACGTGCAGCATGGTGTCGGACTTCTCGATTAGGTGCAAATCTGTGGGCGCTGGCAGCCAGCTCAGCAGACCCTCGGCTGAAAGCGACAAATAGTCATGAATGTGGAAGGGTCAAGAGAACCGGGCAAAGTAATTCGTACCAAAGTCGGTGGTTGCAAATACGGACGAAATAAACCAGAGTTTATTACTGCCGGAAAGGCCTTGTACAGTTACGTTGTACTGAGTAACAGGGTTGAGCTGTCTGAAACAAGGTTAGGAATTGGCAAGAGCCAGCGAGGGTCAGATATGGGGACAGAAAACAAGTTTTCTCTGGGATATACCACTAGGAATATCGATGGGAACGAAAAGAAAAAGCTCAAGGCATAAAGGCTTATGATTACCTGAAGTGGTAATCGGTTTGTGATCCGGGCGTAGTGTATTCTCTGGGATTCTGGTCCAGCTCACTAGCGACCGAAATGAACAACTGAAATTTGCAATATCGAGTATCAAGCTCAGCTCCCGCTATTTACGCAACTTCACTATCAAGCTAACTAAGGCAAACGAGATAATAGATTCCGATCTACAACTCAATGCGGAAGGCGGACAAAAGAATCGTAAGTTGCCGCGCCGCCGCGCGCGGCGCACCGTGTGGCGATGAGCGCGGGAAATTTTCAATGTGGGTGTCACGTGGCGATGGGCGCGGAAAATTCAAAGTGCGCGTCAATTTCGCGACTGAAGCAGTAAAACTGGTGAGAATCGTTGCACATTTCTTATTTTTTTTCCACATTTCCGCATCTGTCCGTTTCCTACATTGTCTATTGCTGTCATAGGTGACTAAGTCGTATAGTCGAGTCTTAGAGATCAGGGCTCGGGCGGCTCCCGCGCGCGTTGATGCGTCACTCTCGCTTGTCCTCTCAAATTTGAAAGGCCAAGCAGGAAAGCTCGTCTCTCGCGACGCGGCGTCGCCCCATGCCTGCCAGCGCGACAAATTACGATTCTCTTGTCATGTGGTTTCTCAATGCACACCTGATAAGTATCGATTTTCTCGCCAATGACTGCTGGTGGAGTCCATTTCACTTTGAGATTGTCATGACCGGCAGAAAGCAGCTTTAAGCTGCCGCCAAGGAGCTCCTGGTCGTCTTTTCTAGTGGTGGAAAAGTAGTCGCTTGACCATTCACCCCACGTTCCAGACGCTGATTGACCCTGAAACTTTGCTGTATTCGAGAAGTAGGTGAAGCACTTCAGCTAACTCACCTGCACAGCAAATCGGTAAGTGGTGGCAGGTTGCAGGTTCTTCACAGTAGTGCACAGATTGGCGCCGGTGATGATTGGGCTTTTGTATCCCGTACACGAGAGTTCATCTCCAGAGAGCTCGACCTCCGTTGGATTGGAATCATCAGCTCTATAATCGATTGATCGAGGTTCGCTTTGACAAGGGCTGTCTGCCGCGGTCTTACCTAGGGCTATATCTTATCCTGTAAGCAGTTACAACAGCTTTTTCGGGATAGGGTGGCAGCCATGTGAGTTGAATAGCTGTACTCTTTGTCTGGACAGCCGTGAGTTCTCGCGGTGCACCCAGTTCAGAACCAGTGGTTCGGATTTCCAGTGGATCAGACCAGGGTCCTGGTCCTTCGGCCGTGTAGGCTCGAACCTAAAACGAAGCGTAGATGTACCGGAACGAGTTGTGTATAAGTGGGACTCCTACCTTCATTCGATAGAGTGATCCGGGTTGAAGCTGATCAATGACGGCATTGGTACGAGGAGTGACACCCTCACGAGTACCCTCGTTCCACTCGTCCATTCCAACCAACTCAAACTCGTACTGGGTAACATTACCGTTCTGATGCACACATTCAGGAGCATCCCATTTGAATCCTGAGTAGGAAACCATTTAATGCCATTAACTCAGGGGAAGTACAATTGGTATCATCGCAATTAGTTGAGTCGCTTTTGAGTGGGTGGACAGGCAACACAAGGCGCGTTCTCACCACTGGTTGTTTTCGTCCTAAATCGATCATAGCCGATCACCATTGGTAGAGCAAGGCGCCGGAGGCGGGCCCATCCCGCCCCCCTCACACCGCCCCCGACTGATTGCGATGATGCAAACTATACCTGTGCAGCTTACCGAGTTCAGTGTCTTTTCGAACGGTGGATTGCAAGTTCATTGGTGGTCCTGTGGGCACGTCATTCTTGGTCTTGAAGGTTCGTACAGTCTTCGGTGCGACTATCGACGAATGAAGTGATGGAGGACGACGTGGGGTCACCGTCACCTGGGAAAGTCACTTTTGGGACAGCGCAGTTGGGATAGAGAGACCATGAAACCTACCTCGTAGACACTTCCTGGAGCAAGTTCCTCCAGTGGCACTTGCTTCTCCTGGATGTTCAACTTGGTGATGGGCTCCTGAGATCCTGTGGCAGCTTCGTTACATCCACCCAGTTGCTTCAGACGATACGAGATATCCACTCCATAGTTCCACTTTTGGTCCTGCAAGTGAAAGCTCGGTTAGCACCCGTCAGGAAATAATTCTGGCCAAAAAGCTTACCTTATCTGGGAGGTCCCATGTAACGAGTGCCTCTCTTGGCCCTGTGGGTTC